ACGACGGACCTCGAGCCAGTGTCTTCGACCGGCTAGGCCAGTAAGCAGCTGTACGACAACAGAAGTTGGTCGTGCCCAGTGGAAGCAGAAACTACCCAGTTGACCGAGCCGGCCTCGAGCGGACTACTGTCAATAGAAGAAGGCCACCCTGTCGAACCGAGCTATAAGAGATACATTCATGAAAACACAAAGACGAGAAGTTTGACCTTAAAACTTTTAGACCAAGTAGACTCTCCCTTCACGGAGAAAATAATGAAAGATAAAGTTCCTCCAAAGTTCAAGCTACCCACCATCAAACAATACAACAGTTCAACAGATCCTATCGATCACCTCAACGCATACCAATGATGGACAAATACTATAATGCAATATTGGGTAGGCCGACTATATACATTTTGAAGGCAATAGCCTCTACATATCATCAAACTACAAAATTCTCAACACCAGGAGGAATATTTGTTTTGTTTCCTTTTCAATAAAGTCATAGGTACTTTTTATTGATTGTCTTTTTACTTGAGCACTTATTTTTATTCTAAATATAAACTCCTCAAGTAGGGGGCTTAGGTGGTACAAGCAATAGTAAAAGTTGGTTAAGAAACTCAAACCGGGCCAAACCATAAGCAAGCCAACGAGTTAAGAGCCACTTGGTCAGATCAGGAAAATCGAATGGCCAGCAAATGAGTCCAGCAAGGTTAAAACAGAAAGCAAGACAAACAAGCCAAGCCAGGCAACAAAACTCACGGGTGTAAAATCGTCGACAAAGAATGAGTTATAAACCCATGAGTGTTGAAGGCGAGCAAACCAGCCTAGCTAAGGTTAGAGCCCAAGGCTAATAAAAAACTAACGGTAGATTAAACCTGATAGTAGTGCCAAAGAGACTTGATTTAAAGCTTCAATAGAAAGTCAACAAATTGAAAAGTTAATCTTGACAGTGGAACAATGATAAAAAAGAAGAGACGAAATCCAAAGCATCAGACGTGAACAAATCAAAGGGAGCATGAAACCGACGTAACGGATGTCAATCTACTAATTACTGTCGTCATCCATATCATCAGAAGCATCACATTCAGCCTTGAAGCGCTCTTGAAGAAATGAATAATCCGCTCCAGGATGTTCATTGGAAAGCTGTTGAAGTGACCATGAAACACCACACTCAATGACAGCATTATGCAGGTGGACATATTCAGCCTTCTTCTTGAACTCTCGCCAAAAATTCAAAGTTGGAGAGCTAGGCTTTCGCCTCGTCAAAATTCCTCTGCAGATCCGCCAGTTCAGTCAGAGACCTCATTTTGTTAGTCTTGAGCTCACGTTGGACATTTTCCAGCAGGTTATTGGCTCGATCTAAGGAAGAAAGAGCTTGATTCAGCTCATCGTGAGGGGCATAGTTTTGGTGAAAATGGTTAATCTTGTCGGCAATTCGTCTCGAGAACACCACCAGATGGGTGAAGTCCTAACAAACAGAACACTAGTTAGATCTCGCAGGCTTTCAAAAGAAAATAGTAATACATCAACCAACCCGATGAAGGACACTAAGACAAGTGTCAATATTCTGCTGGGGTCGGAATACCCGGTGTCCGACCCCAGGATGATCCACCCAACCCTTGCCAGAGGCCGAATGCTTTCCCAAATATACCAGCTTGTCAGTATCAGTAGTGTAGGATCCTTGAAAAGGAATGGCCAAGACCTCAAAAGAAGATCCCGGATGACCACGAGAATAAGGAGTTGATACCCCATGAAGACGAGCGGAACGTCGAGGAGCCACATAGGGCACCAACGATCGAGCATGATGTTAATTGGTCGGGGGGTCATCCTCGGTAAGGTCGGTCATGTCAACATCCGAAGCCCAACTCGACCCAGCACCCGAGATCCGGTTGTTACGTCGTTGCTTTCTCTCAAATAAAGAAGTAGCACGTCTCGACACCCCTGTGAAGCACAGTACAAGAGAATAAGGATTGAGAGTAAAAAACCACCCCTACTAAAACAATTAGCGAAGTGATCAACAATCACTTGGAGATTGACAAGGAGAAATGAAGCCAAAATCAATAAAGTTCTGCTCCCTCACCAAGGTGGGACCCCACCTGTCTTTGGTCGGTAGATGGACAATGGAACTATAGAAGGCCAAAGCCGTAGATGTGAGTTAAGGATGACATGGAGCTGATAGAAAGAAAAACAGTGTTAGAAAAACTAAAAAAATAGTCTGATAGAGTTAGGGAGGCTACTCACCTAATTCCCTACACTCTGTCGGGACCGGAAAGTGCAACCTATTATCATCACTGGCAAGTCAGCTACCGACGACAAAAAACCACTCATACTTCCAGTGTTTTATGGAGGAAGGACCGACGATCAGAGCTTGATTCTGAGAATTAACATAGAAATGAAGATTGTTTTCTGGGCTATGTTTTAAATAATAGAGAGACATAAAGGTAGCCGCAGTCAGAGGTTGATCATCACCAAGATAAGACCACAGGATGTAGCAACTTATCAAGGCGGACCAACCATTCAGGACAATCTGGCAAGGTGCCAATTGGTTATAAGCCAAGAAATTTTGAAGAAAAAAGGGAATGGGTAAGCGAACACCAAATTTAAACATTGCAGCATAGAACACAACCTCCTCGGGACAAGACCCGTCGATACTCTCACCAAGCCGAGGAAGCCTGAGGCTAATAGATTCGGGAATGTGGTATTTCGCACGAAGACGATACAAATCACTCTCGGTCAAAGTAGAAGTGTCAAGCCACGAAGGGCGATACGATCCGAACTCAGAAGATGGATTTGAAGAAAGTTCGTCATCTGAGGTAGTCCATTCAATATTCAAGCTACTATTTGATGTCATATAAGCTAAAAGAAAGACAATAGCAAAATAGGTTTACCTTGGGATATAAGTGTTATGAACACAATTGGAAGGAAAGGCTAAGACTTTTATAGCCAAAAGGAAAGAATAAGTCACGACGTCACCTTGGGCCTGACCGAGGCATCCTTTGACATGGGTTTGACAAGTACCCGATCGGTCACGAGGTCCCTGTTCACTCACGAGTTGGACAAAGGCCTGCATGTTCATAGGAATGATCGAGGACTTCTTGGCCATAGGCCTGATCGAGGCCTGGTCGGTTGCAAGCCTACTTGAGGCCTGCTCGGATGCAGGACAACTCGAGGAATGCTCGACTGTAGGTCAAAACAAAGCTCACTTAGACATGAGCTTGATTGTTGATCTGGCAACACCAAATCACATGAAGGCGCATACCATTATCCAGTGAGTAATAACTAAACCCATAAATCTACTCTCAAGGTAGTGAATAACAACTCATAGATAAACACTACCTAGAGAGTGGGGGCAATTGTTATGGGCTAAATAAATAGAACCCGACAAAGCAACGGGCCGGGTGTGCGAAGGGCCAACAAACCGAACTAACAGGTTAAAATCAAGCAGGCCCAAGACACCTGGTCTGACCTGGGCTCGGCGCCGACTTGGGCTCGATGCCGGGTATCAGGTAGCCATCGGTCCAATGACGACTGCTATATCGTGAATGATTTGTATGATTTATATGAGACGACATCTCCTAAACACCTTAGGGTTCAACCTACGTAATTCCTAAGGGAATTAAGGTTAAACCCTCATAAATAAAGAGGCAAGTGAAGCCCTAGAAGCCTGATCCTCCACTATCCATACTCTACTACTCCAAATACTAATTTAAGCATCGGAGCGTGCGTGGCATAAGCCACACTGGTCTGAGTGCTATTCTGTCTTGCAGGTCTTGTCGATCCCCTTAATTTCAGTAGATTGGTGCAAGTTTGGCAAGATTCACGGAAGTCAAATTTCTGCATCAACAGAATTGATTTTCAATTGAGTGACCGCTTTATTAAGTCTCCAACCTTTGTAAAACAGCAACCATTTCCTCTACTTTCATCCCTCCCAAATTGTAATAGTAGTAAAAAAAAATTTTTAAGCTCAAAAAAGAACTCACWTGCCTAACTTGGTAATATTCATTCAATGTGAAACATTTAATTAATTTAGACATAGTAAAGTTCTAAGGAAACATCCGTTCACCTTCTCCATCAACATTTAAACTGACCTATCTTAGAGTTCTAAGAAGTCAAATGTTGTGCACGCGTGCTTGTTTATGCAGAGTGCAATCTTGTCCGTGCATGCATGTGCAAGTGGTAGGGGTATTGTTATGTCTAGGCAAACTTCCACGTTAATTGTCATGTCGTTCGAACTCTACCATATCAACTTTTCGTTTAAAATATAACATATGTTTGCTCAAAGTATATTTTTAAAACGTTCATGAAATGTCAAAGATAGTAAAAAACTTTTGAAAAGATAGGAGCATTTTTTAAATAAAGGTAACCATTTTGGTCCATTCATTTTCATTTTGTCTCATTTTTTGATTTTAGCATAATATTTCACTCATTAAATTGGTTGAAATATAACAATAAATTTGTCTAAAAGAATTTCCATTTATCCGTGTAATTTTTTAATTATGGATAAAACAAATATTTTGAAAGTACAAAGACTAAAATGAACAAAAGTACCAAGTATCGAGAAAGGAAACGGACCAAAACCAACCTATTTAACCAAACAAACAAAAAGAAAACAAAAAAGTTGGTTGATGAACATATCAACTAAGATCAACCTTTAAAAAAAGGAGTAATATTTGTAAAACAGGATAGGAAGAGAGAAAAAAAGGAAAAAAAGAAGATACCAATTGAAAAAATTGAGGAAGAAAAGTAGGAGGTAAAGTAGTTTGGTTTTTGTTAGGTCCCAATTGGGTGAAGTGGGAGTGGAAGTGGAAGAAATAGCTTTGACGTATAATCCACGCTAAGGAAAAAAAAAAGAAAAGAAAAAAAGAAAGAAAAAGGCCCATTTCTCCAAAATATTTGAAAATGGCCCATTCACATTCATCAGGAAATTGGAAAGGCGAAGACAGGGCAGATACGCTGTCGTTTTCGGCGGCACTCTCTCTCTCTCTCCTCCCTCCCACTCTCTCTCCGCCACTTGTACTCCGCCATAGCTCTCACACCTCGACACGTTTTTCCTCTTTCTCTCTCTACACCTTCGTTGAAGCCTTCTCAATCCCTCTCTTCCCCCCATTTTAAAGCTCTCTCTTTCTCTCTCCTCCCCTCCTTAGGGTTTCTTCTGCTCTGCTACTGCTACTCATGAGCTCTGCTCAGCCTCGCTTTTGATTTTCTCAGGTCATTCTCTTCTTCTTCTTCTTCTTGTTTTTATTCTATGATTGATTGATTGATTGTTTGGCTTGGATTGTTTTGTTTCTTGTTTTCCTTTAATTTTAGTTTGCTCTCTGGTGCATGAGATGGAAGCAATGGAATAATTGCATGATGGAAAATTTGTTTCTTGTTTTATTTCTTTGCTGTATCTTTAGATGGTATGGAAGATGGGGATTTGATTGGTTTTGAAATAGAAATCCAGGGCTGGACGATTGATTCAATTGGAACTTGGGAGGGAATTAGTTCCTGAATTGGATTAGGGGCTCTGTTTGAGATCAAGGGGAGGGAGACCGATCGAGAGTTGAGAATTTTTTGTGTGGTATAGATTTCATTTTCTTGAAGGATCCCTTCTCATAATAATTGTTCTTTCTTTCTCTGTCTTTCTTTCAGCTGTAATGATTTTTCAGTTTGGATTGGACCAACACTCGAATCCTTTTTGTTTTACTGAAGGTTGTTTGGAAGCTGGATGGATCCTTGTCCTTTTTTTTTAATTTTTTTTTACTGTTCCTTCGTAAAATGATGAAGCTTTTGATAGCTTTGTTTATACTGTTTGTTGTTCAATGCAATTCTTTGAGTTGGGGAATAGAGTCCCCCCTTATTCTCCATCATGATCATAAAGCTATGAACTATGCAGGTTGTTTAAGCATAATTAAAATGTTGAAATTTGTTGCTTACAATGGGGCTGTTCCTATTTTTGGTTTTTTTTTTTGTTTCTTTTTTCTTTTTTCAAGAAAAAATAACTGAAACTATTTTGGTAATTATTTATTTATTTTTTTGGGGGAGTGAGGGGCTCTTACAGAATTAGAAACACATTTGGTGATGTTTTGGTTTCTTGTTCTCTAAGTTTTCAAATTGTTTTAGAAAAATCCACTTGGAAAATAGTTTTTTTTTTAAGTAAAATATTCATACCTTTGATGTCATCTGAAATAGTATTTTTATTTATGTTTTTGTAAGTTGTAAACTGGAAATAAGAAACTAAGATCTTTTGTTTTCAAAATTTATGTACAATCTTAGCTGTTTCTTAGGACTGGAGTGCTTAATATGCCGATTCTGGTAGAATAAATGATTTATGATAATATTCTTTGGGACAGACTTTGTTTTCTTAATGTTGAAAATATTTTCTGTTCTGAGCAGCAGTGTGGTGAGGAAAGGAAAATACACTACATACTGTGAGCCATGGATCAATCAGAGCGTTCTCAGCATCAGCAACAATCACAGCAGCCTGCGGGGGGTGTCGGTGCAGGCCAATTACCATATTCTAATCCTTACGAAACAAATCTGATGGTGGCTTCTGGAACGCCTGCTATCACGATTCCCCCGACTCAGCCCCCGTCGAGTTTCTCTAATTCTCCACACCAGCTCGCCTATCAGCAGGCTCAGCACTTCCACCACCAGCAACAGCAGCAGCAGCAACAGCAGCTCCAGATGTTCTGGGCCAACCAAATGCAAGAGATTGAACAAACAACTGACTTCAAGAACCACAGTCTCCCCCTTGCCCGAATCAAGAAAATAATGAAAGCGGATGAAGACGTCCGAATGATTTCAGCTGAAGCACCGGTTATATTTGCAAAGGCGTGCGAAATGTTCATCTTGGAGTTGACTCTGCGATCCTGGATCCATACAGAAGAGAATAAAAGGAGAACTCTACAGAAGAACGATATTGCAGCTGCAATTTCAAGGACCGATGTCTTCGATTTCTTGGTCGATATTATTCCTAGAGATGAACTGAAAGAGGAAGGACTCGGAATCACAAAAGCTTCTATTCCTGTAGTAGGTTCCCCTGCCGATCTTCCTTATTACTATGTCCCACCGCAGCATCCAGTGGCTGCACCTGGGATGATCATGGGAAAGCAATTAGATCAAGCAAATATGTACGGTGGCACCGCCCAACAGCCTCGACCACCGATGCCTTTCATGCCATGGCCACACACCCAACCTCAGCAGCAGCAGCAAACCCAGCAGCAAAGTGATGCATAGGTAATTAAAAGTAGTAGGGGTTTTCGGGACAGCTCGTCATGATATATGATTGGTATAGGCGATACCGAGTGGCGTTTAATGTGGGTCTACCGTCTAGTTTAGTTCATAAAAATTAGCTGTTAGTGGAGAAATTGTCAATGATGACAAGTTGCAGTTGAGTTTGTATGATGAGAGGGTGTTCAGCTCGTGTTACTCTAATTATCTATTACTATAATGTACAACAAACAATGTATGAAGTTTGGGAAAAGAACTATAATTTCATTTTTTGTTGTTTGAGGTTGTGTTTGGCTAAACCTCTCTTTAATTTTAATTTTAGGATCCAGCAGAAAGCATGAAAATTTTAAGCAAAAATTCAATTGCTAGGTTTGCTGAAAATTATATTTTTATTTATGTTTTGAAACAAATTAAAAATGAGAACAATCAGGAAAATGAGAAAAAAAAGATGTCCGGCGTAACACGTACAAGAAGAATGAAAATCAAATTGAAGTCAAAAGATTTTCTTTAAACTTGCTCCAATCATGGTTTTTAATCTTCAAAATTTTTAAATTTTCTCTCATAATTTTTAATAATGTTTGCTTTTTCGTAAAAAGTAAAACTACCGGTTGACCTAGAGGGCTTCTTAAAACAACAAGAGGTTGGGTCAACTATTCAAAGAGATAATACGTGCACATAAAGGCAAACCAGAGTAGAGTGTAGGGGTGTCAATAGAAATGAGCACTTAAACTTCCAAGAGAAAGAGGATTGGTCCAATTAAATTGGCGGTAAAATTTCTTGACTCTCATTTTCTACAAATCTATCAGCCTCAATATCTCTCTTGATTTAATTTGTAGTCTCTACCTACTCATATTTCCTATTTGTGGTATTTCTCCCATTTGGAGTTTTCCGCGTAAATTCTTGTGTTCTCTCTATTTTGTTACTTTCTTTAAATTTCTCATTTATTTATTTTACTTATTCATACTATAAAGATAAAATAGGAGTTTTTTTTCCATCACCTTTGCTATCAATATTATTAAGAAATCATGAAAGAAGGTATAAAAAAAACCAGATATCAGATCTTTTAGCTTAAATACCCAAGACATGTGGAGCTCAACTCATAAATCGATATATCTTAGATCTACGACTAGAGATACATAAACCAAGAGGTATACACACTCCAAGAAATTTGAGCTTTCACGATGCACAAAATCGTCGCAATAGATAAATATTTCATCGACAAAAGGTATTCTTGACGATTTCTTTTGTTGCAACGATCATCGACAGAGTCTAGTTGCAAAAGAGACCTATCACAATGAAACTATATCTCGTAAAAGATCTTTGGCAACGAAATATATTCAGATTTCGTTGCTAAAGGTTCAATTTTGTTTAAAAATTGCATGCACATGCATCTAATTTTTTCTGGTTACAATCTTGTTATCTAAATATTTCTTCAAATTTAAATCCAACTCCATACACACACATTCAAAATTATTGTTAAACAAAAAGTGATTTTACAATCAATCTAGTATAGAAAGTAAAATACAATATAAGCTAAATTTCGACTACAACATAAATCTAAACCTAATCTAGAAAGCCCCATCCTCTTTTGGCTTCATGAAACCTTCTATAATTTCCAAAGCTTCCGAGAGAAAAATCACAAGAACTTGAAAAAACAAATGAAAATAAACCGATATGAACAAAGAGTTGTATATTTGACTCATTCTACTACATTTTAACTGATAATGTTAATTAGCTAAAAAAAGTTAAACTTCAAACAAGCAAAGTAGTAGTAAAGTCAATAAAAAAGTAACTTCAAGTAGTGCCTAAATGGTTCCAAAGAAGTCAAAATGATCTCAAAACACACAACTTACCCCAATTAGACTTAAATAAGCTAAATTGGTATTTTAATGGAAACAATGTGATCCAATGTCACAAATTCACCTCCTTTTAATGTAGCCCTAGTTAAAATAATGCTTGAAGTTGCCAAAATGTACCTTAAAATATACAAGGGAGGAATGATAATCCATATCCAACATAATATGGATTTTTTTTTTTGTTGCTAAAGTGTACTAAGTTTCATAGCTTAATCCATATTCCACAAAGAAAGAATAATTCATATCCATGTACATAATCCAATATCTACGAGTATCTCTAAAATTCCCTAAAACTACTTTGAAAGCTAAAAAAGGTGTCTAATTCACCCCACATGTTAGGGGTTTCGGGCTAAATAGCCTTTTGAAAGGCCCATTATGAAATGTGGCCCTCTCTTTTTTGTAAACATTTGCTGGCATCACCATCCATTTCAAATTACTGTCCTACCCCTCCATTAACATACTTAAAATGGTTACTTTCCCCCTTTTTTTCATTTCAATCTCATATTTTCTCTCTCCTTCCCCCTCATCTCTCTCGGTGGTTCTTCTCCCTTCTCCCTCCTCTTCTCTCTTTTCAAATTTTTTAGATTTTTATGAAACTTCTCCTTTTTTTTCCTTCAAAATTTTTAGAATTTATGGATTTCAAACTTTCTCTTCGTTTTTTTT